TCGAGCACTCCAATTTCCATCACCTCTGGTCTTCTTGACCAGCGCCTCTGGTCCTACATGGACACTCAACAAGAATCGAGCACTCCAATTTCCATCMCCTCTGGTCTTCTTGACCAGCGCCTCTGGTCCAATAAGGACACTTGGCTAAAGTCAAACATTCTATCTTCCATCGCCTCTGGTCTTCTTGACCAGCGCTTCTGGTCCTAGGAAACGGATATTCATAAAAGTTGATCAGGCTCTACCTAACGATATGTAACAATAAAAACCCGCTTTAAAAACACATGATTTCAGATTTCATGAAAATCATTTKGAAAATTTTTGGTTATAGTCGATGGTTTTTAAAGAAAACCAGCGTTCTCTATAACTGAGGCTCTTATACCAAATCTGTCACACCCCGCTAAAGCGGAATCACGAGATGTAACAGGCAAGCGGGTCATAGCAACAGTTTATAAATAACACCATTTCAAGTTGTTCAAAAACAAAACTGTTCATCGACATAACAGGAGTTAGAATTTACACAACGTTCATAATTACATCAAAAACTTGACTTAATCGATCTTGGCTCAAGTATGCTCCCTTAACATCCAAACCACTCACTTAGAACCTGAAAAGCATGGAAATAAAAACGAGGTCAACTACAAAGAGTTGGTGACCTCACGGGTTTTCACATGCACAAAAATATTTCAATGCATAAACCAAGTAATAGCAAACTTAAGCGAATTCTTTGCACTTAATAAATGTAAATCCCTCGCGATGTAACACTTGAGACGCTATTGAGCCTTACCTGACCAATATGCCCCATTAATTTTCGAACAACCAGAAGTAGCCCGTTCACTACTTAGGTCCAGCGGTTCGATAAAACACTAATTCACGGTGGTCCAAATTCCACATGATTAGGCTAGAAAACATAGGTAATTGTGCACCCCTTTCTGGGTGGGACTGTCAACACAATAGCGGCTATCCACAATACCACGGCCCGGGAATGTACCCGAGTTAACAAGTAGCGTGTACGGACGGGAACTTTTATTAGGAAACATATACTCTCAAGCGCATCAATTTAGCATTTATTCTAAGTGCAGAAACAGTTGTCAAAACAAAACATAAAGAACCCGACTAAGCAGTTCCTTAGCCCAAGAGGTTCCAAGTAAAACTTGATTAAGCAGTTCCTTAGCCCAAGATATTCCAATTAAAGTATCGACTAAACAGTTCTTTAGTCACAAGTATCATAAAACGTAAACATGCAAAGTTTACTCAATATCATGCTTTTCCCCCATAAAACATATAAAAAGCATTAAAAGTGGGGCCGTGAAAATTCACAAGTTTGACGAATATCCGTGTGTTTCCTCTAGGGACATGCTAGGCTTGCTCAAACCTCCTGACAGACCAACCAGCGCTATATTAACTTAATGGTTTCCTTGACTTAGGTAGGGCAAAGTTGGTTCTAATGCAAAGCCATCAAATAATTTTATAAAATAAAGCCGATGTTTTTAATATTTAAATAAAAAGGAACCTTCTAAAACCTTATTAATGACATCATTAAATGTCATCCCAAAATAATGATGGCAGCCGCCATCTATCAAAATCAAGGGATTTTGAGTGGGTTTAACACTCTTTTCAAGAGTTCCTCAACCTTAAGTCATACGTCTCCCAAGATTGTTTGCATGCCCAAGAATGACAGCAATGATGGGGAGGGTCTCGAGCTCAACGTTTTCAAGAATCAAAACTTTTAATACCAAAAWCATCAACTTTAAATAATTTCCAGAGAAGAAATAAAACAATAAAATTTCCGATTCCAGCAAGCTTTCAAGATAAGAAATTCGATTTAAAGATGCATGCAAGATTTAATCWTCCGAGAATATGATCGGACCTCACATGCAAGAACTCTCTTCTTCTTTCTTAGAGACTAAAGAATATTGGGTCATAGATTATCATTAAATAAAGACACATGCAGGTCTTTAATGAATAATCTCTCCTCTTTAAATCTCATAAATTTATTTAAAGAATCGAGTATAAAGATAAAGGAGTTCGAACAACTAAAAGGGAATAAAACAGTTCGTAAAACATACATTTTTCTTGACCGAATGAAACAAACAAGTCTCAAGAACAGCAAAAATCTTGAGTTTTTTTTGCAAGGAAATGGGATCGGTTGGAAGGTAATGATGTTAGAGAAAGAGAGAACGGTATAGCTTGAGTTTTGGAGAATGAGGAATTTTAAAAAGGAAAGGGGTATTTATATGATGCTTCTTAGAGAAGGAATGGGTTGGCCTTTAAAAGCCCAAGCCCAAGATGTTTTTAATACTAGATCCCAATAATTTTAAATAAACAAACAATTTGATAAAAGATTTTAAAACTCCACTCCTATAATAATAATAATAATAATAATAATAATAATAATAATAATA